CAGTAGCAGCCACAACAGCAGCAGCAGCAGCAGTAGCAGCCACAACAACAGCAGCAGCAGCAGCAGTAGCAGCCACAACAGCAGCAGCAGCAGCAGCAGCCACAACAGCAGCAGCAGCAGCAGCAGCAGCAGCCACAACAGCAGCAGCAGCAGCAGCAGCCACAACAGCAGCAGCAGCAGCAGCAGCAGCTTACAGAAGCCTGCCAAGTTTTTTTGCTGCTGGAGCTTCTGGTTTATTAACAATAATTCTGTCATCTTCTACTAAGAGAGACACTTTTGCCAAAAGACGAATTGCTGCATTTAAATAAATAAATAAATAAATAAATAAATATAATTAATTAATTAATTAATTAATTAAATTAATTAAGTAATTTAATTAATTAATTAATTAATTAATTTAATTAATTAATTAATTAATTAGCTAATTGGTTTATTAATTTGGTTATTTGTAACTAAATAAAAAATGAGTAAATGGTGAAAGGAGGCAATTAAATTAAAAATAATAAATTAAATAAAAGAAAAATAAATTAATTAAATAAATTAAATATAAATATAATATGTGGACGGGGTACTAAATAGTAATCTTTAATTTATTTACTTGTTTATTTTTATCTAATTAATTAATTAATTAATTTACTTTTTCTTTATTTATTTGAATTAATTAATTAATTAATTAATTTATTAATTTGTTTATTTTTATTTTAATTAATTAGTCAATCAATTTATTTATTTATTTGAATTAACTCACTAATCATTCCATTTATTTATTTAGTAAAGTGAATTGAATTGGATTAATTAATGTAGATAAATTAATTTGATTTAATTCAAATAATTGAATTAAATTAAATTAATTTAGTCTAAGTAAATTAATTAGTTTAAATTAAATTAACTAATTATTTTATTTAATTCAATTTAAACTAATTAAATTAAATTAAACTAAATTGAATTAATTTAATTAATTTAATTCAACTGAGTAACTAAATTAATTTAAAAATCAAATTAATTGAATTAAATCAAACTACTTTAATTCAATTCATTCAAATCAGTTGAACTAAATTAAATACATTAAATCAAATTAATTCAATTAATTGAATTAATTAAATGAAATAATGAAATTAATCAAACTAATTAAATTAATTAAATCAAATCAAACTAATTAAATTAAATGAAATCAAATTAAATTAAACTAAATTAAATCAAATTAAACTAACTAAACCAAATTAAATCCAATTAGATCAAATTAATTAAAATAAATTAATTAATTTAATTAGATTAATTAAATTAATTTAATTAATTAATTAATTAATTAATTAATTTATTTATTTATTTATTTATTTATTTATTTATTTATTTATTTATTTATTTATTTATTTATTTATTTATAATTAAATTTACCCTTCATGTACGCTCGAACGACTTTTCGCTTTTGGCGCTCCTCAGCGCGGCTTGAAAGGCTCTGAAGCAAAAAATGAAAATAAAATAAAATAAAATAAAATAAATAAATAAATAAATAAATAAATAAATAAATAAATAAATAAATAAATAAATAAATAAATAAATAATAAATAAATAAATAAAAGAAATAAATAATTATTGTTATTTGTTTCAACTTTGTTAGCTCAGGACGAGGAGAAGGATACCAGCTGCACCGAAACCCTAAACCCTAAACCCTAAACCCTAAACCCTAAACCCTAAACCCTAAACCCTAAACCCTAAACCCTCCTAAACCCTAAACCCTAAACCCTAAACCCTAAACCCTAAACCCTAAACCCTAAACCCTAAACCCTAAATTAGGGTGTAGGCCGTAAACCCTAATTTGAGTGCGCGTTTACTGCTGCTGTTTGCTGGGGTGTTTGGGGCGGCAGTGCTGCAGCAGAGGGTGCAGCAAGTGCGCTCAAATGCTGCTGCTGCTGCTGCTGCGGCAGCTGTGCTGCTGCTGCTGCTGCTGTGGCTGCTGCTGCTGCTGCTGCTGGCCGGTGCGGCCGCTGCGCCTCATCTTCGCTGCTGCTGCTGCTGCCGCTAAGGGAAGACCCGTCGTCTTCCTCTGAGTTGCTTTGCTGCTGCTGCTGCTGATGCTGCTGCCGTTTGCTGCTAGCTTGCGCATGCTGCCGCTGCTGCTGCTGCAGCAGTTGCTGCTGTTGCAGCAGCAGCTGCTGCTGCTGCAGCTGCTGCTGCTGTTGCTGCCCCTGCGGCCCCTGCTGCCGCAGGGGAAGGTTTTGCTCCCAGTTCGACATCAGCGCAGCAGCAGCGGCCCTATCCTCGGCCCCACACCCAAGGGTTTAGGGTTTAGGGTTTAGGGTTTAGGGTTTAGGGTTTAGGGTTTGAGCTTTACAGCTCGATCTTCCTTTGCCTCACTAGTAGGCAAAACACAATTTGCATAAAGTGCTACATGGTGGACAGTTTAATGCTTAGTTTTTAGGGTTTGAAGCTTAGGGTTTAGGGTTTAGGGTCTAGGGTTTAGGGTTTAGGGTTTAGGGTTTAGGGTTTAGGGTTTCCTCCGGAAGCCAGCCTCGGCATGCAGCCCCAAACCGAGCTTTGCTGCAGTACTGTTGAGGAGAAGGGAAAAGGCAGCAAAATATTTATTTATATAAAATAGTTGAGTTTGTAGGGCAGCAGCAGCAGCAGCAGCAGCAGAAACAGCTGGATCTGCGGCAGCAGCAGCAGCAGCAGCAGCCGCAGCAGCAGCAAAGGGAGATTTCGTTGCTGCAGCAGCAGCAGCAAGCAGCAGTTTCATTGTTTTTTCAGGTGTACATACAGCCCAGAGTTGCTGCTGCCGATGCAAATCCACGCGGCGCCCGGCTCCCCGCCTGCTGCTGCAGCAGCAGCAGCAGCAGCAGCAGCAGCAGCGCCAGCAGCAGCAGCAGCAGCAGCAGACAAACAAGAGGCCCTTCGCCGCTACCAGGAGCAGCAAAAGAGACTGCAGCAGCACCACAACCGCAGGCTGGGGGGGCCCCCCCAGGGTTGCCCATGGGGGCCCCCCTTGGGGGCCCCCCTGGGGGCCCCCCAGGGGGCCCTCCGGGGGGGCCCCCAGGGGTGTCTCCAAGGCCCCCTCATGGGGCCCCCATACCCCCGTCGCAGCAGCTGCAGCAGCAGCACGATTCACCGTACTGGCAGCAGCAGCAGCAGCAGCAGCCACAGCAGCAGCAGCAGGGTTCACCTTATTGGCCACAGCAGCAGCAGCCGCAGCAGCCGCAGCAGCAGCCGCC